AGTCTCGTTTTCTTATTATTTAATTTCAAAATTTCTTTATGTCGGTAAGTTAGGAAATGATAATTGAATAACATTTTACAACTGCGCATGCTCATTAATATTATCATTTATGAACCAAGGCTACGTACATACCAAAACTTCAGCAGGAAGCACAGACTCTTGCATAACGCGTAACACATGAGACATAAGAAATTGAACCAATCAGAATTCTTTATTTCATGAAAAGGAAGGAAACGGAGAACTTCGATTGGTTTTTTTTATGCGTGTATTACGTGTTATGCGTCATGCAAGAGTCTGTGCTTCTTGCTTTCCTCTCCGAGGAAGATTTTACCAGAGAAAGAACCGCATCATATTTTGTCGCGCGTCCAGTGTGCAGAAGCTATTACATCATGGTTAATATAAGGAGCTCCGCATAATAAAAGGAACAGAGAATAAGAATTTCAGGGGGGAGCCCCCCTTATATTAACTATGATGTAATGACTTCTGCACACCGGACGCGGAAACGCTTGTCGCACGACAAAATGTGATGCGGTAGCCAATAAGCTTACAGCTCCTAATGTGTTCATTGGTTACCGCGTCCTTATTTTGCCACGCGGAAAGCGTTTCCACGTCCAGTGTGCAAGAGTTATAAGGATACCCAAGTGTTTAATTCTCGTGGTTGCGCAGTAATAGCGCAAAATAAATTTGGGCATAAATTTGATTGGCTATTCCAATATGCTAGCGCTATTGTACGCAGGAAAGTGAATTTGAGCAATGATTTGATTGGTTGTTTCCTGTATTACTATTGCCATTATGCACAACGGAACACCAGTTGTAGGATTCTCAAAATGTTTTATCGACAATTAGAGATTTGTTCGCGTCGCATACTCCAACGTGCTTCAACATGTTTCTATCATAGCTCCTGTACACTCTGACGAGCGTGTTTAAGTGAATGGGAGCTACGGTTGAAGAAAATAGGAGCATGCGACGCCAACAAACGTTAGATTTTAGAATAAATTTAGAATAAGCTAAAATGAACCAGCAAATTGGATTCGACGCATGATGGGTCTACCATGTTTCGGAGTAACAACAATAGCGTAAAAAGCATAAAGTAACAACAGGCGGAAACTGATGTTTGAACTTACTTCATAAGTCCAAATCTACAATAGGTGATTTAAACCTTAAGCCTTAAGAAATTGACCAATTACAGTCGAGTGCGAGGAGAATAATCGACTGTTATTCGTTCATTCTTACGGCTTAAGGTTTAAAAATCTATTGTAAATCCGAGCTGTTATAGGTTGTGTAGGCATTTGTTACGCATTTGTGTATGTACACATATAACGTATACTTACATACTACACATACGTACAAATGTATGTGTATATACATACGTGTATTGACATATATACAACACCCCTTATTGGAGGCGTAGTATCGTCAGTTCGGTCTTGTAATTCGTTTATAGTTTGTTAATTTTATGAATGTCATAGTCATTTAAACGACTTTTCACGAATTTAAAAAACATGTCCACGAAATCTCCAGTAGATTTGCGAGCGGAGTTGGCGGAATTGGTGAAACGCAAGGCCGAGATTGCTGTGAGTACCCATGTTGAAATCAATTTTTATGCAAACGAATGTTATTACGTTGAATTTCGTTACATGCTTACATGCATGTTTGCAAGATGCACATTTTTCAACATGTTTCAATAGTCATTCCATTTTAAATATAAAAATAATTACAGCACAGTCGATTTCTTGCGATTGAGGTTATGAGGATACTTGAAACGAAGGTTGAGTAATTTGAAAAAAAAATTTGAATACAATTAATCTTTTAAAAGTGAAAAATATCTGATCGATATTTTTGCCACGTTATGAAATACAGCAATTGTAATAATCATTAATAAATGATTTGTGTACCAATATATAGATATCATTAGGTAAATGTTTACAAAAATTAATTTTTGTAGGAGACGTTAGCCAACTTGGAACGTCAAATATATGCCTTTGAGGGAAGCTATTTAGAGGATACTCAATTGTATGGAAACATAATAAGAGGTTGGGATAGATATTTATCAAGCAACAAAAATACTAACAGTAAAGCTGATAAGCGTAATAGAAAATTTAAAGAGGCAGAAAGATTATTTTCTAAATCTTCCATTACTTCCATGGCCGTAAGTAAATACATCTATTTAAGGAAATTTTATTTCTTGTGTATATGAATTTTATTATATGCATAATACAAATTTGCTATCTATAAGATCAAGTTCAAATTTTATATATTCTTTTTTTTCCAATATATTCTTGAGAGACATATAATATATTAATCTTATCAGAATGTTGTTGTTAGATTAATTTATATTATTTTCTATTATAGGCAGTTAGCGGACTCGTTGTCGAAAACGCACAAGACAAAAGTAAGGACCTCAATGGATATTCATGATAATATTTGTTTATAAAGATACTATTCTTGTGTATTTTGTATACTTTCTTTATTATTCTTTTTTTCTGTAGAAAAATAGCATTTTTTATTTTATAAATATGTTTAATAGTTGTTTATGTCTGATTGAAATTCTTCCCTGATATTGTGTTATTGTATTATCGTGTTATAAATAGATGTATTTGCACACTGATTTTCTTGTTTGGATTGCTTCACGTCTGAAAGATTACTAGAGCTAGCATCTGATATTCTGTAGGAAAATTAATATTCTCGATGAAACGAAAATTACATATATGTAGAAACATATTCTGTTCATTATGTTGTATTCATCCACGAATTATGTAAAGTATCGCTATTAATGCAGATTAATTTTATGCGTAACGCTAAAGCTTTTTTTTATTATCCAAATAGACTTAGCTACGGCATATCTGTCTGCTTAGTAGTATATAAATATTTAATGTATAAGAAATTACGATGATAGTTGCTTTTTCCTCTCTTCATTTTCCTCTGAAGAAATTAATCTTCCATGTAAATAATGCTGCATGTATATCTTGAGTCATAAGTAACCATGCCTTTGTCAATTAGTATCTTGCAAATATAATAGCGATTTAGATATAATATAGTGTAATATAATTAAAAATGAATAATATTTATTACACAAATGTTTAAAATCTTATGATATCTTATGAAAAAAATTGTATTTCCAACACTCGCTTATGCAACCGCATATCTTGATCTATAAATCGATATCTATCTTCCACTGCTTGCTTTTTCTCGATTTGCATGCATTTTATACCGTTAATATGAGATCCCTACTTCCAGTTGAACGATACAGTGAATCAGAGTCTCAGATTGGAAATAGTGGCAGTGAGGACAATTGCAACTTTGGCAATTCAAATGCAATTCCTTCCAGTAATAACAAAGAAGCTAGTGGGAAAAATCATACTTCTATACAAAGCGGACATGTCCAAAATAGTGGCACTATTAATAGCTCGGACAATGCTTCGATTCAGTTTTCAAATGGATCAATGTCCAATGGAAATTTAGAACATATTACAACACCTGTCAAAGAATGTCATAGTAATAGTAAAGACTCCAATAAAAATAAATCTGGCAATAGCGCGAAAAAAAATAGCAATAAAAGAGCTAGAAATAGGTAGAAAAAGGTAGAAATTTTAATAATGTCATATACATTAACGAAACATGTATTAAAACTCTTTGTTTCATTATTATTATTATTATTATTATTACTATTATTATTTTTAAGCGATATAAACATTGTATTTGTCACCATTTATGACTGAATTCTTTCTCACTTGTAATCTTTATATCATATGTATTTTTAACATTTGTTGCACAAGGTCTAAAATGTTATCTCATTAGATATTAAATATAATTATTTTTGTACATAACAAACAAAATATTTTTATTTTATCATATCTATATGACTAAATCAACATATTTTGTCTCCTAAGTTAAACATGTTAGCTTGTATTTTTTTGTATTATGTGTGCGTGTTTATGTGAGTGTGGCAGTAAGCATAATTAGTACACATTCCACACTTATATAATGTAAAAGTACGTACTATCGTTCCGTTTTTTTTCCATAATGTTTCTTACATTAATTTTTAAGAAACTAATTTTAAATTTTGTGAAAAGTATTAACATAGAAGATACATTCATAAAATATACATACATGCGAGTTAACAACTTTAAAACACATCTTTCGGCTCTCTTTCTATGTGTGTATATTCTCCGAGTGTGCGTGTGTAAATGTATGCATATGTGTGACTAAACAATTAACTGCAAATTGTATATGATTTTGTACAC